GTGGCCGGGCTCGCTGTCACTGGTGTCGGCACAGCTGCTGCTGGAGCTGGTGCAGGCAACGTCTGACTCGGAACTGTGCCCGGGCTCGCTGTCACTGGTGTTGGCACCGCTGCTGCCGGAGCTGGCGCAGGGAACGTAGGGGTCGGACCTTCCGTGGCACTCTGTGGCACGGCTGCTGCTGGCAACGTAGGAGTCGGAACCGTTGGCACTGCTGGTGCCAGCACAGGTGTTGCTGCCGGAGCTGTTGGTGCAGGCAACGTAGGAGTCGGAACTGTTGGGACCCCTGCTGCCAGTCCGGCTCCCGCGAGCTCTTCGGCCGTCGCAGGAACCGTTGCAGGAACCGTCTCTTGCACCTGGGACTGTTGGGCAGCTGCTGCGTGTCTCGCAAGCTGAGTTTCCGTAAGAGTCGACAACACCGTGGCCGGACTTGGGGTCGGTGTCGCCGGGCTCGGTGTCCCTGGGCTCACAGTGTCTCCTCCGCCTCCGCCGTCACTCCCCAAACTGACAGAACTGGTGGACCTGTAGCGTTGCCAGAAGTTCCCGTAGCTCTTCTTCTCCTTTTCACTGAGGACCGGCAAGGCGTACTCGTCCTCCTGTACGTCTTGCTGTTCCGAAAAAAAAAAAGAAATGCCTTTATCAAGGTTTATAGGGGTTTAGGGTTTAGGGTTTAGGGCTTAGGGATCCCGCCCCTACATAATTACGTAATAGCGTAGTACTCATCGAAGGGCTCCCCCCTCTTTATAATTAAGGCGTAATAGCGTAGTTCTCATCGAAGGGCTCTAATATAAGAACGGAGTTTTGGCCCGTCAGTCCTTGGAGTCTTTTTTACTTGCAGGCGCTCTCGGAGCACGGGGCGGCGGCTTCGCACGCGGGGCAACGGACTGTGGCGACGGTGTTGAGGCCGCCGAGCTTTCCGGGACCTGCATCGCAACGTGTACTAGTGGTTTATACACCCTGGGCTCTTGGTTGTGGCAGGATGCCCGATTGTGGGTTTAGGGTTTCAACAGTATAATAGTTCAGTCGTGTTTCGGCTAGGCCTGGGAGACTCGAGCTTGCAAGGAAGCATCCTTAAAGGATGCCGCGTGTGTCAACTTGGACTCTGCACGATCTAGGAGCGCGGGCTGTGCGGCAAGAACCAGAGCATCCAAAGCCGGGTCCACCGGCGCATCCTCAGCGGCTGTCGTCAGACTTGTGACGGAGTGGGTCGAGTCCAGCCTGTTCGGGTGTTGGTGTGACGTCACGAGTGACGGGCTGGGACTGGGAGGAGCGGGTGAAGGCGTCACCACGGCGGGGACTTCTGCAGTCACAGCAGGGGGGGGCGGGTCTGCGCACGCCTTTGGGGCCTCTGCGCACGCCTTTGGGGCCTCTGCGCACGCCTTTGGGGCCGCCACTGCTGTCGCTCCAGGACCAGCAGAACTTCCGGCAGCGGTCGACGAGGGCTGTGCTGGCTGCAACCCGGCCATAATTGCCGTCCTAATGGTGGGGATTATGGTAAGGTGCACTCACCAAGACACCCCGAATTAGCTAACATTGCCATCCAAGCGACATCTTCTCCCGCACCTTGGCCTGCTGGTCAGCAGTCAACCCCAACTTGGCGAGGAGGGCAGCGTCGATGGACCTAGTCTGCTCCTGGGATGTTGCAAACATAGGATTCGAGCAGGGGTGCTTGTAGACGATTACCCTTTTCACACCCACATATGGCAAACCCAAACTGTATAATTGATTGGAAGAGCAGCCATCGCAACACTCGGGTCTGCGGGCACAGCTGGCACAGCTTTGCTGGGCGCTTTGGTGGCCGGTTTCTTGGGAGGCATGATCCCTCCGGAGGATCAAC